CCCCAGGTTTTTTGCCTTTGGGTGCATTGTTCCTCCCCCCAGCCCCCCCATTTCTTTTGAGTTCACCCAGCTGGTTGGATGCATTTAAATATCAGCAGCGCTGAGAGTATTTGCATGGATCAGCATCCATGGTGTTGATAGCCATTTTGTAGGGGTTTAAAGATACTTAAACAGATTTCCTTGTCTCTTTAAATCTGCTCCTTCCCCTGCCACCAGGATGCATGGACCACTCCTCAGTCTGCAGGGGTCAGACAGGCAGCTGCGGGAATCAGTGAGCCAAAAGCCCTTTGCTGAAAAGGTTTTATCCCCTCCCTGCTAAAGGCAGGGCAGGCACACGAGCAAAACCCTCCCAGTGTCACCCCAAGCAAGTGTTTCCCATGTCAGAGATTTTGCTCTTTGTATTAATCCGCAGCGGCGTGGAAGGCAGAGCCCTGCTGTGTCCCTGCACAACCACAAAGGAGCAAAACCCTGCGGAGATGCTGCAGGAGGTGGCACAGGCTCCCTCAGTGAGGGACTTCACTGCTGGCCACTTGAATCCATAGCAGCCAGTGCCTCCTTACCTGGGTCTGGGACCAGCCCTGCACTCTCTAACATCTCCTCTGGTTCCTCCTCGTAGCTCATGGTTTGCATCTGCGAAAAGAAATTGCATGCACCTGCCCCCAGCCACTTTGGAGCTTTGCTTCTAATTAAACATTTCTCTCTCCTCCTCTCAGTTCCCTCCGGTCCTGTTCCCCAGCTGGGTTTGCAGTGCTGGGATCTGATCCCCCTGGCTCATGTCCAGCTTTTCATCCCCCAGCACCCCCAAGTCCCTCTGGGCAGGGCTGCTCTCCATCCCTTCATCCCCAGCCTGTATGGATACCGGGGGTTGCCCCCACCCAGGGGCAGGACCTTGCACTTGGCCTTGTTGGACCTCATGAGGTTGGCACAGGCCCACCTCTCCTGCTTGTCCAGGTCTCTTTGGATGCCATCCCGTCCTGCTGGCGTGTCAACGGCACCGCTCAGCTTGGGGTCATCTGCAAACTTGCTGAGGGTGCACTCGATCTCACTGTCTGTGTCACTGATGAAGATATTAAACAGCACTGGTCCCAGTACGGACCGCTGGGGGACACCACTCGTCATCAGTGGAAAGCTGTGATCCCCAACAGTTGGTGGCCTGGATCCTCTTCATGGGCATTTTGTGGTTTAGAAGGTGAGAAAAGCTTTAATGGGTTCCTTTTTGCTGTGCCCCCAAAAAAAATTTTTTTTAAAGATCAACTCTTTGGCAGCTGAGTTGGGTAATTGCAGCATTTTGGTGAGAAATACAACAATTTCAGGTAGGACTGCACCACGAGGACTGAAAGTTTAAACTCCTTGTGCAGTTCTGGTGCCACTGCAGGCAGGAGGCTTCAGGAGCACACGGCTCCCTGAAAAGCAAGGCCAGACTAACACGGGTCCTCCAAGGGGGTGCATTTTGGGGACACAGCCTGAGCCAGGAGGTTTTTGTCCCCTACCCAGAGCCTGCGTGGACGCTGCGTCACGGCTGCGACCGAGCAAAGGTGTGGGGCCAGCAGTCAATGGCGCGGCCTCATCGGCCGGTGGCTAGTGGGCAACTCACGAAGCCTGCGGTCCTGTTGGCACCAAGGTGGGGTCTGTGCTGGCAGCAAAGGCAGAGAGGGCATGGATCGGACTGACGCCATCCTCCCTGCTCCAGAGGGAAAGGCTGCAGCGACAGGCAGCGGAGCCACCCCAATAAATGGGGTTTTCCCAGTGCTGGTCTGTATCAGAGACGCTTCGAACACCTCCTGCTCAGATCTGGTGCGTCCTGAATGAAATGAGTGAAAGAATGAAGCCGTCCCTGTTAAAATGTGTCTCCTCCAGGGGTGAGCCCTCTTTCTCTGGGTTTTCTGTTTCTTTTACGCTGTTCTGGTGGCTGCTGCTGCTGCTTTTTCTCCTCATCCCAGGCAGATTCACAGAATCACAGAATGGTTTGGGTGGGAAGGGACCCCCAGAGGTCACCCAGCCCAACCCCCCTGCAGGAGCAGGGACACCTTGAACCACAGCAGGTTGCTCACAGCCCCGGCCAACCTGGCCTGGAATGTTCCCAGGGATGGGGCCTCCACCCCCTCTCTGGGCAACCCCTGCCAGGGTTGCAGCAGTTTTAAAGGACCGTGTGAGCCTTCTCCCCAGGAACACCTCCCCGCGCTCTTTGAAAACATTTCTTTCAATATAAACAAGCCCAGCGCCCTCTTGTCCAGGGAATGGGTCCCATCCAAGCTCTTGCCCAAGGCTAAGGCCCTGTCCAAGGCCTTGGAAACACATTCAGACATTGGTTCTGCAGTGTCTTGAGTGGCACTTTTAATATGCAGCTTAACAATTTCCACCACCCCCCTCTTCAAAAGCGGCGCAGCCTTTCTAACCCAGCTTTGCAAGGCAGGTCCAGCGCCCGCCCCACGGCCAGGGGCTCCGGGCAGGGCCGGGGCTGCAGGAGGTGCTGGGGCTCCTCACCACGCCATGGAAAAGGGACCGATGGGTGCCTGGGTCTCTGCCCCGAGGTGCCAGATCCAGCCCTGGGCAGG